TGTTTTCTTGAAGAAGATGAAAGGCAACTATTTATATACCTATTATTTATTTATTTTAATGGTTCAAATTCTTTCAAAAAAACAAGTATAGACAACACATATATTTGAGATTTCAAAGAGAGCAGTATATTTAGTAGGTTATAATAGAAAATTGAACTGCACATTTTGTAATAAAGAATTATATATTAAATATTTTTGCAGACAAAAATACTCGAATTTTAGAAATTTTGCATTCTATGCTCAACAACAATGAATGTGTAATACGATACTTACAAAATGTCAGTGTATGATCCAATGAATATAAAGTCTTTAAAAAAAGTTAGTTGAAGACACCTCTCAAAGGATTACTTGCCATTAAACCAAGTAAAGTACAAATCTGAAGAGCTATAGCTGCAAAAAAATTGCAATAGAATATGACGAGGAACTCCATTATTTCAACAAGAATAGACGAATTAATATTTATAGAAGATTAAATCAACCAGAAATTCTCATAAACTAAATGATTTCAAATTTAAGCTTTAAAGTTGTGTGTTTTAGTATATTTTGAATACCGTGAAACATATTGCTTGCAGATGAATCTCAGCTTAATAGCCATAAAAAAAACAAAAAAAAAACAAAAAAAACTAAAAAACACAGTAAACAGTAAATAGTGAATAGACCACAATAAAGCTCTTTTTTTTGGCATACGGGACAGTCATCGTGGAGAATGTAGGTGTGGTGTTGATTCCTTGTATATCACTAAATAGAGATGAAGTGTTGGCAGATTATATGCAGTACACATATCTTCAGATTATTCGAATAACTGGATGTACATAGTACCGAATTAATTGAATCCTTGATTAAGTCTCAAACCATAGTTACCTTAGAATATACTCAAGTATGGGTATAGAATCAGAAGCTTTGACGTACTTTGACGATAAAGTAATCAATGAATTCGAGGGTGTCGGAAGTGAAAGCTTAATACAGTTATTACAAGCTCCCGATCAAACAAGCCAAGATGCTGAAAATATCACATCACAAATTTTCACAGAGCTTCTTTTAGTGTATGAAGAAGAAAGGATATCACTAGAAGCTATCATACAGTTTTTATCTTTGGCAATTAATGATGAATTTACAGCTGTAATATTTTGTCAAGTATTCGACGTATTCCCATTGTCATTTTCTTTGCAAAAGCTTTTACTGGAAATTTATCAGCGTCAGAATATAATTAAGGCATCAACCTTTTCAAAAATGATAGGTTACGAGTCGATACTGAAACTGTCTATCGTTCCTACAGATACATTAATGAAGCAATTAAATACACACAAAAGAGATGAGTTTTATACGCAGAAGAAATATAATTTAATTCATGAAGAATCAGAAGGATACGCCAAATTAATGGTAGAACTTTACAATATTTTGAAATATAATGATACATCCTATCAAGTTGATTATGCTCTCCGCATAATTGAGGAATTAACTGGACATTATAATTTGGATCCAAATCGTACTCTTGATATTTTGATCGAAATATATAGTAATAACTTTGTTGGAAATCAAGACTTTGCTATCAATTTACTTAAAAAATCCCAATGGTGGCCGTCGAAAGAAAGTGATTGTTTTTCATCTATAGAACATCTTTCTCAAGGTGGTAACGAAACTGCTGCTAAGATTATTGGTTTGAGGATTCTGAAACAACCATTGGACAAAGACTTACCTGAAACCCTTAAAATCTTATTTGCTTGCTTAATTAAGGAAGGCTTTGTAAGTTTCGGGTCTATCTATAAGTATATAACACCTGGTGATGAAGAAATGAAGGCATTGGAGGCCGAATATAAAAAGAATTTGAATGAAAAAGTTTTTAAAGCAAGCGCTAGTGCACTTGCGTTAGCAGCTCCTTTACAGGAAGAGGAAGAGGAAGTAAATACTTCTAAAGACAAAAAGCCATCTTCGCAAGGCAATACAAAACAGAAAGAAGCCACCATTCAGTCAAAATTAAATTCTAACCTTAGATTCCAATTTTTGCGTGTGCTATTAGGTAATGGGTTGTATTGGCCTTCTATATACATCTTGACTGAATATCCATTTTTGGCATATATTGATGATGAAATTAGTGACTTGATAAACCGTCTATTCAACTCGATGCTTACACCATTGTATGATTCCATAAGGGTATTTTCTGACGAAGAATTGGATAAGTTGCAAACATCAAAGCAAGTTGCTTTTTCAAGACCATTTAACAATGTTCGTTATGAAGAATCTCCTTGTACAGAATTATTGAGTTTTAAGCCTACGATCAAAAGTTTCAGTCACAAACGCTTTCACTACTTTTATACAAATTGGAATAAAAAAATTCCTCAGATAAATAATCCTGATGACTTGTTTAAAGTTTCAAGAGAGTTTCTTAAATTCAATGGTGTAAACTTAGCTAAGGATTTAGAATTGTTTTCCAAAATATGTGAAATAGGGATTTGGGATTTGAATAAAAATCAAGAGAATGAAAATAGGAAAGCAGAGTGGCTTAATTATTTCAGAAATTTTATTTTTCAAGCAATGCCGTTGATAGAAGAAAATTCAATTATAATAGATAAGGCATATTCCATTTTATCTTTTTATGATTCTGAAGATCGCTTTAATTTATACAGTGAAATGCACCAGGTACTAGCGAAAAATAACCCATTAATTAAAATTGCCTATGGAAAGGCAGAGAAGTCTACAAAAGATGTTTTAAAAAGGTTGTCCAAAGAGAACGTGCGCCCCATGATGAGAAGACTTGCGAAGATCAGTTTTTCTAATCCATTACCTTGCTTTTTAACTATATTACAGCAAATTGAAAGTTATGATAACTTAAATACCTTAGTTGTCGAGACTGCGAGATATTTTAATAATTATGGGTGGGATACGTTAACTTTGGCAATTTTGATGAGGCTTACTGCAGCAGGAAGATCAAATATACAGGATGATGGGTTAAATGAACGTCAATGGATCCAATCATTGGCATCTTTTATTGGTAAGATATGCCATCGTTATCCTAATGCAATAGATTTGAAAACATTAGTAACGTTTTTATTGAAATCTCTTCACAATAAAGAGAACCTTGGCTTAATCGTCTTAAAAGAGATATTTATATCAATGGGGGGTATCCAAACAATCGCTGACTTAACCTTAAAACAAATTGACATGATTAATTGTGGTTCATCATTAGAAAAGGTGGTCTATAGAACGATCGATGATTTACGGTTCGAGAGGTTCAAATCTGGTCGCATCTTGGTCAAAACTCTCGTAGAGCTTGATGCCGTGAATGAATTATTAATCTTACTATGCCAGCTAGGTGACGACATGTTATTTAATTCTGATAATTCCCATTTGAAAGTATTAGCAAACAAGAGTGACGATCTAAGTACAGTCTTGCATCTATTCACCCAACTAATCAATTTTTTCGGAAATAGTGAAGATTTAGATAAATTATTATTGCCGGTTTCAGAATTTATTAAACAGTACCATGTACCACCGTCATTCGCCTTTGAAATTTGGAGACAGACTATCAGTAAAAACATCTTAGCAGCTGATTCAGATGATACTTTTACTCCTGTTATAAGTGATATTATGAATCAATGCTCTCAAATTTTACCTTCGAAAGTCTGGGATGATTTATCAACTGGCTTATATGCAACATTTTGGCAATTGTCGCTTTATGATATTAACTATTCCGAGGAGCTATATGAATCTGAATTAGAGAAGTTAAAATCTAATATAAACAGTATTAAAGATACTCTTTTAATTAATAAAAGAAGTAGTGAGGTCACAAGAGCAACTATAGATAGGTATAAGAAGGATTTAAAACAAAACGAGGACTTTGTTTTGGCAATTCCAGATGAAAGAGAGAGTCATTTGAAGCATTCTGAGTTATTTTCAAAAAGATTAAACAAAGAATCATCACATTGGTTCGCAATGAGTGGTGTTGAGAACATTAAGCTGCAAGTTCAATCATTTTTCCAATATTGTCTTCTTCCAAGAGCAATCCATTCATCATTCGATGCAGCATATTCAGCAAAGTTCTTATTTCAGTTGCATAAAGTAGAAACTACTAATTTTTCTATTATTCTTGCTCTAAATGAATTAATTAAAAGTAATCTTTTATTTGGTACATTGTTTACTTCCACTCCTGCTGAAGCAGAAAATCTTGGTTTGTTTTTTGCTGAATTACTTAAGAGATTACATGAATGGACAAACGAAAGCACGTTCAATAATGAAGCAAAAAATTACACTTTATTTTCAGAAGACTCTGAAGAATTAACTTATGATAAATTTCGTAAGTTGTTGTTCGAATATCATGATATTATTTTGAAAGATGTTGGACAAGCGTTGGAGGTCAAAGAATACATGTGTCGTCGTAATGCAATTACTTTTTTGAAATATCTCGTTGGTATTTATCCTAACGTAGAGGATCATTGTGAAAAGATCGTAAAATACCTCGAAAATATTTCCTTGAATGAGGACAGAGAGGATTTGAAATTGTCATCAAGTGCATTGATTGGACACGTGAAATCTAGATCAAAGGAATGGGTACCTTTGTGGGAATTTATTCCTATGGATGATCAAGAAAAGGAAGCACATGTTCAAAAACGAAATGCAATAAAAGAGAGTATTAAAAAATTGGAGCAAGAAAATAAGGATAGGATCAAGGAGAAAGAGCTTAAAGAGAAGCTTATGAGAGAAAAAGAGCTCTCAGAGAAAAGAAGCAATACAAGTACAATCAGCTATGATGAGTCGAAGTCTGCACCATCAAGGCCCGGTACCAGAACTTCTGATTCTGCCAAAACAAGATATGACTATTATTCAAAGTATGGAGAAAACAAAATTAAGAGTCAACCAAAAGTCGAGAATTCTATAGAATCACAAAAGGCAGCTAAACCAGAAGATGAACTAGTTGAAAAATCGAAGCAAGAAGAAAAGAAAGAAAATTCAAAACCTCTAGACTTGAAGGCTAGGATTAGAGAAGCAAAGAAAGAATTAAAGGAATCTAATAAATCTAACTCAACCCCGGTATCTAAGGAGGCTTCTCCGACTTCTTCTATTGAAATCGCTAACAATAAGGATCATACGAAAGGAACTATAACCGCAAGAAAACCAAACATGCCGAAAGGTCAACTGAATGCTAGACTAGCAGAAGAGAATAGACCTAAACAGCGTACTCCTCTTCCACCACAAGATGTGGCTGCTCAAAAGGACACACACAATGATTATAGATACAATGAAAAAAATCAACAATTTGGAGGCAGAAGATACAATGAAAATTATAATTCAAATAGATACAATCAAAGATCGTACACTCCAAGTGGTCAACAAAATAAGCTGCAACAGAAGAGACCTATTCCTCCACCTCCATCTAGGGGTCCTTCTAGACCTATTCCTCCACCTCCTCCACCGCCTGTTAATCTCAAACCAACCAGTGATAACCAACATAAGCATGATAACCAAGGGAGCAGAAACGCAGGTAGATATGATTCCAAAAGAAAACATGATACGTATAATAGCGGTGGAAGAGGATACGATAAGAAACCAAGGTACTAATTAACTGTACATAATTTATAATAAATGACATTATATTATATTATATATTACACTATTTTACATCCGCCGTATTAGAGGCAGTTTGACCAGCCTGGATCGATTTTAATTCTTCGTCTATCAAATCATCTAGTTCAAAGTCGTCATCATTACTATCCAATGCATGTAGTCTCTTTGTAGGCATATCAGATTCATCATTATCAGGAAACACCCTCTTATCGTGCATATTGCCACTTGAGTTCTTTTCTTCCAGATCAAGACTTTCTAAAAAGCTTTCAATTTTCTTTAAGTGTGATTCATGCCACTTTAAATGCCTTTGAAGATCATAATCACGACTAAACATTCTATCACAATTCTTTTTCGGGCATGGAAGCTTTCTTTTCAGATAATTATTCAGAATAAGATCCACAATAGATGCTTTTCCAGATTCCAAAGTCAAGTTTAACGAATTTAATGATTTGTGCGAAGCATGCATGCCATTAGACAAACGATCATTCTCTTCATTCTCTTCATCTGACGATGGTACCTCTACAAACCCCTTTGATTGTAAGCCTTCTAAAGTATTAAAACCATTATGAGCCAAGTCCTTCTCATTCAAAAGTTTATCTAACTGTTCTCGTTCGCTTGGTTTTAATAAATCATCAGGAAGATTTCTGTCATGATAGGTGTTGTAATGATCTATTAAATCAGCTTTTTTCACAAATTTTCCAATATTACAATAATTACAATTCCATAATTTGACCATCTTTTCTTCGTCGTGGATATTCATATGTGACCGAAGCCCTTTTTTGCCTACACAACCCTTGCCACATATAGGACACTTTATCTTTGGATGCTCTGTTTTTATATGCAATTGTAGAGCCGACCATGTCATGAAATTTCCAAAACAGCCTTGATGGTCACATTGATAAGCCGGTGAATCACTGTGATATTTTATGTTGTGTTGTGCCAATCTATATGGCCTGTTAAATGACTTGTTACATTTGCTGCACGTCAATTTTTTTTCATGTACAGATAGCGTATGATGTCTTAATGACTGGTGCTTATAAAATGACTCATTACAACCCTCAAATGTGCATGCGAATGATTTCGTATGGGTTATTTCGTGTCTCTTAAGATGCTGTAAGGTATTTACACCTTTGCCGCATTTTGCACACTGGAACGGTTTGCTTTCTTGATCTTCATGGGAAAGCAAATGTGCCTGCAAATGTGATTTCCTTAAAAAAGACTTATCACAGCCCGTTTCCGAGCATTTAAATGGCCTTTCGTTAGTATGTGATCTTTTATGTTGTTCTAATAGTGATGGTTTAGAATACGCTTTCTCGCAGCCTGGTTCGTCACAAATATAATTTTTAGGTCGAGCTGAAGATGAAGACGCCCTTGAAGATACGGACGCCGTCTCGGATGATTCCATAGTTCAATTTGATCTTTCTAGCAAACCTCTAAATATAGTGTTAGCGTTAAGATATTTTAGTTTTTTATCTAGAAGAAAAATATATCTGAGCCGCAATTTGTTCCATCGTACATTTTTTTTTAATTTCATTCCGAATTAAATGGATATCATACTCGATAATCAAGACCTGTGAATCAACATACTATATTAATGGTAAAAGAAAATAGAAATAATTGTTAAGTTTATATTTGATGTGTCAGATAAAAAGTAATTTAGATGATTGCAGATTATATTGAACAAAAAGATTGTACAGTGTTAAGCTTCGTTCCTCATGGCCCAATGGTCAAGGCGTCTGGCTACGATTTCGTATCCACTTCTCGGTTGGAACCAGAAGATTCCAGGTTCGACTCCTGGTGGGGAAGCTTACTTTTTTAATTTTTTAAATGACCACCAACATGGTTTAACACATTATTACAAGTATCATTTATGTCTGCAACACATATATACATAAATAAGTACTTCTTCTAACTTTAACCTATTTTTTCTTGTAAATTATCGAAAAAAATAGGCATTGTTAATGTTGAGATCCATTTTGCAAAAATAATTTCAAGTGGGGCACTCCCGCATTGAATTTTACAGCAATCTATGAAATCCTTCTGGAATTGAATTTCAAACGGTACATAAATCTTCTTCTTTATACTCCCAGTAAATAGGTAAGTAATGTCCGGACGTCCAATTATACTCCGGTTATCGAATACTGGAGAACCAGTCAATAACACTGCTGTAAAGAATGGAGTATTGATATTACCAAGTGCTGCACTCCCCAAAGATTACAAGAAGGGTGATGTTTTGTTTAATTTACACCTTACATTGAATGCAGCTTCAGCTGTGTCTAATAATGGAACAATTTTCACGAATGTTCCTCGGGAATATTCAACAGAATTCGATAGAAATAAATTCTATGAATATCCCCTTGATACTTCTTTCCATAGGGATATCTTAGTGAACATCGCAATTTTGAAGCCGGGAAGTTACTGTTACTATATTTGCTACGAGGATAAAGAACAAAGAAAACAAACAACAGAAAAGTTTTATTTCGTTGTGCCACCTAATTTGACTATTGGAGATGAATATGTTCCCTTTAACAATATAAACATTCAGTCGGTTATTTCAAAGTGGATTGGACCCTTAGACAAGTGGGATTCAATATTTGAGGATATTTCGAAGAAGGGTTATAATATGATCCACTTTACTCCATTGCAAGAGAGGGGTATTTCAAACTCTCCATATTCTATCTATGATCAATTAAAATTCGACCCTAACTTATTCAAAAGCAATGATGATGCTACTAAATTTTTGAAGGAATTATTGGCAAAAAATAATTTGTTGTCTTTGACTGATGTTGTGTTAAACCACACTGCTGATAACTCTGAGTGGATTAGAGAATATCCTGATGCAGGTTACAACATAGAAAACTCTCCTCATTTGCAATCAGCTATTGAGTTAGACGAAAAGTTACTCGAATTCTCTGATAAATTAGATGAATTTGGTTTACCAAAAGATATCAAAACACAGGAAGACTTGAATGCAATTGCTGATGGAATTGTAAATCATGTTGTAAATCCCTTAAAATTATGGCAATATTATGTTTTTGATAAACAAGAAACCATTGAGGCTCTTGAAAACGCTTACGGAAACGGGAATTCAAATATTTCCCCGGGCGAAATTCCTTCTGAGATTGATTCAAACAGTATCAAGCAATTGGCAAAGTTCGTTGTAGAGACGTGTAATACCAGAGGTAAAGTAATTTTAGAAGATAGATTTGGTAACAAATTAGACTCAACTAAGTTTTTGGCTGTATTGCTTGCTTTGCCTTCCAATGATGCCAGCTTTGAGACAATTTCCAGTAAGGCTGTTTCAATTATCGATGAAATCAACGTGGACTTGTATGCTACTTACGACGATGATGTCAAGTCAATTAAAAACCAATTAAAAGATAGAATTAGATACATTAGAATTGATGATAATGGTCCAAAGTTAGGACCAGTATCAAAAGAGAATCCGTTGACGGAACCATATTTTACAAGATTTAAGGCAACAGATGGAAAGCAATGGGCATTGGCAAATAATGGTTGGATTTGGGGAGGAAACCCATTACAAGATTTTGCTTCAAGCGAATCTAAGGCTTACTTGAGAAGAGAAGTTGTGATTTGGGGTGATTGTGTTAAGTTGAGGTTTGGAAGTAAAGAAGAAGACTCACCGCATTTATGGAAGCGTATGATCCAGTACACAAAAGAATGCGCATCTGTATTTGATGGGTTTAGGATTGATAATTGCCACTCCACACCATTGCATGTGGGTGAAAAGTTATTAGATGTGGCTAGAAGTGTTAATCCGGATCTATACGTTGTAGCTGAATTATTTAGTGGATCTGAAGAGATGGATAAAGTCTTTGTAGAAAGACTAGGTATCAACAGTCTTATCAGAGAAGCTATGCAAGCATGGAGTGTTTCTGAATTATCGACATTGGTACACAAACACGGGGGGCGTCCAATTGGATCCTTGACTTGGTTACCGTTAGACGAATTCGCTTATCCAGCATCTTCAGAGCCAGAGAAAGATAAATATGGTGATTCATATTCTGAATTAGAAATTCCAAAGGCTTTAACTTCGCTGGCTCCACATGCTCTTTTCATGGACTGCACTCATGACAATGAAATGCCCGCTCAAAAGAGAACTGTTGAGGACACATTACCAACTGCTGCATTAGTTGCATTCTGCTCTTCGGCAATTGGGTCTGTTTTTGGTTTTGATGAATGTTATCCAGAATTGCTCAATGTTGTTTCTGAGAAACGTACTTATACATATGGAGAAAACGGTATCGGTAGTATAAAGCAAAAATTACATGCAATTAGAAGGTCACTCGCTACCGAAAGTGAGGATATCCTGAGAGATCATGAAATGTATATTCACCATGAAGGTCAATATATTACTATTCAAAGACATAACTCCAGAACAGGTAAGGGTTGGTTTTTAATAGCAAGAACAAAGTTTCATGATAACTCCGACCACCAGATTTTGTCGCCTTCAATATTAGGAGGAACAAAGGTAAAGAATGAGTTTGCATATACTCTAAAAAAGATTAATGATTATCAAGAAGACGAGGAAAAATTGACCGGTATACCTGTTGCATTAGAAGAGGTTCCAGCACCAAAAATAGAATACAACGATGGGGATTCTACGATTCATGTAAATGAAAGTTTTATTCCGGGATCTATCGCTGTATTTTCAACTGAAATCCCAAAGGTAGATGTTTCGTTAGATACTTTCGTGAGAGAAGGAGCCGTGGAAGCTTCATTAGATCTTGACTTATACGACTTGAATGCTTTAATGTATCGCGCAGAACCAGAAGAGCGGGATGCGAGCGATGGAAGTGATGGCGTCTATAGCATTCCTAAACATGGCAGCTTAATCTATTCCGGTTTCGAAGGTTGGATTTCCGTATTAAAGAACGTTATATGGCAAAATGATCTTGCCCATCCACTTTGTGATCACCTTAGAGAAGGCAAATGGCCACTCGACTATGTTGTCAATAGATTGAATAAATATTCAAAAGACTCTAAATCGTTGCAAAAATTTCAAAATTGGTTATCTAGCAGAATTGACGCTATCAGAATTGTTCCTTATTTCTTAAGACCACACTATTTTGCCTTAATCATCGGTGTTGCCTATGAAGCGTGCAGATTTAGAATTTTGAGATTATTCCCCAAGGAAATTCAAGATGGTACGAACTTTGTACAGAGTTTGGCATTAACTTCAGTACAGATGGTAGCGAAAATGAAAAAGACTTCTTTGAAGAGTAAAGAACAAGTTCCTTGTATAGCTGCCGGATTACCACATTTCAGTAACGATTACATGAGGTGTTGGGGTAGAGATGTATTTATTTCATTCAGAGGATTACTATTAGTCCCTGGTAGATATGAAGATGCGAAGCAGCATATATTAGGATTTGCCCAGACTTTGAAACATGGCTTAATTCCAAATCTTTTAGACGCAGGAAGAAATCCACGTTACAATGCTAGAGATGCAGCTTGGTTTTTTATCCAGGCAATCCAAGATTATGTAACTCATGTCCCTAATGGAACTAGTATCTTAGACGAAAAAGTTGCAAGAAGGTTTCCATTAGATGATACGTATATTCCTTATGATGACGAAAAAGCTTTTAGTTATGAAACCTCAATTAGAGATATTATATTCGAAATCTTACAACGTCATGCAAAAGGCATCAAATACCGTGAAGCGAATGCTGGACCAAACTTAGATTCTCAAATGTCAGATGAAGGGTTTAATGTTGAGGTGCACATTGATTGGAAAACAGGACTAGTTCATGGTGGTTCTCAATCGAATTGTGGTACATGGATGGACAAAATGGGTGAAAGCGAAAAGGCAGGTTCTAAGGGTGTTCCAGGGACCCCAAGGGATGGAGCCGCGGTTGAACTTCAAGGATTATTAAAGAGTGCTCTCAGGTTCGTTAATACCTTGCATAAGGAGAACTTATTCGAGTATACTGAGGTCGAACGTGAAGATGAAACCACAATTTCGTTAGAGGACTGGGAAGAGCTTCTTATGAATAATTTTGAAAAGTGCTTCTATGTTCCTGAAGATCCAAGTGACGACAGCGAATACGAGATCGATTCGCTGGTAGTTAATAGAAGGGGTATATACAAAGATTTATACAAGAGTGGTAAGCCTTATGAAGATTATCAATTGAGGGCAAACTTTCCAATTGCAATGGTTGTTGCACCTGAATTATTCACTCCTTCAAAGGCATTGCATGCTATTTGTGTTGCTGACAAGGTCATTAGAGGCCCCGTTGGTATGAGAACTTTAGACCCATCTGACTGGAACTACAGACCTAACTATAATAACGGTGAGGATAGCGAGGACTTCGCCACTTCCAAGGGAAGAAATTACCATCAAGGCCCCGAGTGGGTTTGGTGTATGGGTTACTTCTTGCGTGCATTCCTATTATTTCATTATGTGAATTCGAATGAGTACAAGGAAGGAAAGGATCCTTCAATAGGTATTTTAACTGCTCTCAATGAGAGACTCCAAGGTCATATGAAATGGATCAGAGAGAGCGAATGGTCTGGGTTAACTGAATTAACCAATAAAGACGGCGCACTTTGTCCAGATTCCAGTCCTACCCAGGCTTGGAGTTCATCGTGTCTTTTGGATCTTTACTTTGACTTGTGGAACGACCAAGAATATCCTTGATCGGGTTGTTTTTCTCTCGGGGCCCGCATATCGGGCACATCCCGAGATGTTCAAGTTTTCGGAACATCTCCGAAAACATTTTCAAAATAAAATTCCTCAGACATTCTTATCAAACCGCCTTTAGATATAATTTTATTACATTTGATAAGTGCATACGCAAGTTCGGAAGAACTTGCAATCTGGTGCTCTTGTTTGTTTCCTGCTTTTTTTGTTCTTCTTTTTTCCATTCTTCTTTTTCAATTCTTACTATACTTTAAAAATTTAGCCTTATAAAAGATAATATCGTATATCACGAAAATACACATGTTTTACAGAATCTACTTAATCCTAGACGTATAAATCAGACTTTAGCATCATCCTATCTAATGATAGCACGCTTTTGCAGCAATTTAGATTGCGACATTTCGCCTAGAATGTCGTATCGTCAACAATTTCGCTGCGACACCATAACGGCTATTAAACCGGGTATCCGTAGTTTTGTCTATGATTCTTTCTAATCATTATATAATCTCCAACGATTCATATATTCTCCACCACATAACATAAACACTATATACTCCATTTATTGGTCTCTATGTACAAACGAAATCCAGAAACAAAACTTACCGCTATCAACTTGTAGGACATTGTAGGGTCGATTCGATTGCAAATGAACAATTATGTTGAAATTCAATAGTATATTTTCTAACACTCATAGCAAATAACTGCAATACCCGTAGACCCACTAATAACCTTATTGCAAAACAATGGTGAAATGACTTTACATTCGTGTCATTATTAAGAATAGCACCTAAAATACCGATTACAAGGGATTCGAATCCCAGTGCGAAGCAATTCCCCACTGCGCACTTTTGCCATAAACGGGAGTGGAAAACCGTATCGCTTTGTACTTAAATAGATTCCAAATGCCCTCTTTTTAAGATTGTAAAATTTATAGATAACATCTTTACCAAAATGATTTCTAGATCAATCAGATTAAGGGCTAACAAGCAATTATTACAACGTACCAAGGTAGAATTGAAAAATTTCAAGTCTACCATCAGCTTGACTAGTACCGCTACGGATTACCCCACAAATCACTATGACGCGAAGGAGCCATATTTGACGCCAACCTTTATTAATAATAAATTTATCAAGTCAGATTCACAAACATGGTTTGACATTCACGATCCTGCAACAAACAAGGTGATCCTGAAGGTTCCACAGTCTACAAGTGAGGAATTAGAGGAAGCAATCGCATCTGCACAATCGGCGTTTGAAGAATGGAAGGACTATTCCATTATCAAGAGACAGTCGATTGCATTTCGGTTTGTTGAGTTGTTGAAGAAGAACCAGAAGAGAATTGCAGCTATTATTGTATCGGAGCAAGGAAAAACGTTCCCAGACGCCATGGGAGATGTTTTGAGAGGATTGCAGGTGGCTGAAGCCGCCTGTAATATTCCCAACGATATGATGGCTCTGTCATTGGAAGTTGCCAAAGATATGGAAACAAAGATGGTGAGAGAGCCACTAGGAGTTGTTGGATCGATTTGTCCATTCAATTTCCCTGCAATGGTCCCTTTGTGGTCATTACCATTGGTATTGGTCACCGGAAACACCGCTGTCATCAAGCCATCTGAAAGAGTCCCAGGAGCAGCAATGATCTTGGCCGAGTTATGCGCGGAGGCAGGCGTTCCTCCTGGAGTTGTCAACATGGTCCACGGTAAGCATGATACAGTAAACAAGATCATCGAAGACCCTAGAATTAAAGCCATCACATTTGTTGGTGGAGATAAGGCTGGTAAATATATACATGAGAAGGGTACCAAGTTAGGAAAGAGAGTTCAGGCCAACTTAGGAGCAAAGAATCATTTGATTGTGTTGCCAGATGCAGACAAGAATCAATTCGTCAATGCTGTAAGCGGAGCATCGTTTGGTGCTGCGGGCCAAAGATGCATGGCAATCTCAGTTTTAGTTACTGTCGGCAAGGAAACAGCTGCATGGGTAGAAGATGTGGCCAGAGATGCTGCTAAATTAAAGGTTGGAAGTGGGTTTGATTCTACTTCAGATTTGGGTCCATTGATTAATCCCGAATCTTTAACCAAGGCTAAGGAAATAATTGAAGACTCCATCAAACAAGGAGCCAAAATTATCCTCGATGGTAGAAACTTTAAACACGAAGATTCGAAGTTCCATAAGGGTAATTTCTTGGGCCCAACCATTTTAACCAACGTCAAGCCTGGCATTAGAGCTTATGATGAAGAAATTTTTGCCCCTGTCTTATCAGTTGTTAATGTTGATACTTTTGACGAAGCTATAAGCTTGGTAAATGCCAACAAGTACGGTAATGGAGTCTCGCTTTTCACAACGTCAGGACCATCTGCACAAAAATTCACCAAAAATATTGCTTGCGGTCAAGTTGGTGTCAATGTCCCAATCCCAGTTCCATTACCAATGTTCTCCTTCACAGGTAATAAGGGCTCATTTTTAGGTGATTTGAACTTCTACGGAAAGGCAGGAATCACGTTCTTGACTCAACCAAAAACGATCACAAGCTTGTGGAGAACCACCGCATTCGAGGATGTGTTGAAGCCTTCAACTTCAATGCCAACTCATGATTAAAATTTTTATATATCTACATAATAATATACATATATTATGAAACCTAGCAGTCAACATCTAGACTATGTAAGCCAAAAAAAAAGTATCTCATTAAAAATG